TAGTCTACCGCGGTTTTGTGGTGGAACCATTGGAAGATGCTCTCCTGTCTCCCCTGGTCTTTCTCTTCACTGGACCAGCCAGGCCCAGTTCCTGCAACTGTCGATTGTATGTTTCAGCCTCGGATTCCCCCATCATCCTGGTTGCTCTTCTCTTCACTCTTTCTAGAGGCTCCACATCTTTTTATAGTCTGGCGACCAAAACTGGATGCCGGATTCCAGAGGAATATCATCAATACCACCTGAAGTGTTAATACCACTTTATAATGCCTTTATAATACCTCTAATTTTGGTCACCACAGTACGTAAAGTCTAGAAATTCACTATGGTTTCTGAAAAAGTGCAGAAAAGAGCCACAAAGATGATTAGAGGATTGGAGGCATCCATGTTTCTCAGCTGAAGCCAACCGCGGGGGAGGCTGCATCAGACCGGAGACCCCGTGCGGTAGACCCCATGCGGGGAGAGAGGGAGGAGGGGCTCGCTCCCTCGGGGAGAGGCGGCTGGCCATGGGGGGGGGGAAGGGGGGCAATGATAACTCTTACACTTAGGCAAGAAAAACCCCAAAGTGCACGTATAGACTGGGTGAAACCAGGCTTAATAGCAGTAACTCTGAGAGAGATCTTAGTGTACAACCAATTAAATATGTGCAGCAGCTGCCAAAAAGACCAAGAGAATCCTAAACTGCATTAAGAGAGGGCTCCACCCTTCCCTCCTGCCCCCCCCCAGCCCCCAGCAGCACTCTATAACCTTCCTAAAGGCTATTCATGCCCTTTTTTTAAAAACAAAACAAAAGGGGCCCATATCCGCGAAAAACGGACCATTTTTGGGAGTGCAAAAACTATTTTTTTAAATTTGCCTCTTCAAAACTTGGTGCGTCTTATACTCCAAAAACTACGGTAAGCCAGCAGCTCCAGACTCCGACCCTGCATTCTAGTCCACCCCAGTTTAGCCTGCAAAAACCCTTTGGCCTTGCAATTCCAGGCGCTGTTCTGCACTGCACCTGTTTAGAACTCCTGGCGGCAAAGGCACCTTTCCTGGGGCCTTGGGGAGCATCTAGGTGGTTGGGACCCCTGCTCTAATCTGTAACAAATTGGTTCTCAGTAAAGTATAATCTTGGGGGGGGGATGAACCCGGAATCTAAGCATTTGCCAGAAGTGGTGTAGGATTTCCTGCCTAGGCAGGGGGCTGGACTAGTAGACCTCCAAGGTCCCTTCCAATTATGCTACTCTACTCTACTCTACTCTATTCTTTCTTTGCTAGTTAAACTAAGTGGGATGGATGACAAGTACATTGAATTCCCACCATGTGTGCAGACCACCCACCCAGGATGCTGTCAGCTTAAGGGGGAAACCCCCTGTGATATTGGTGCATCCTGGGAGGGATGCTCCTGAGGTGGACTGGGGCTGGGCTGGCGTTGAGGGGCTGTGGGGCAGGATCCTGCTGCCCTTAAGGAGGTGGAAGAGGACCTTCAAAGATAAGGATGCGAGTCTCTCACTGGCCCCCAGGAAGGGCGAGGAAGACCTCCGGCTAACCTTCCCCCCCCTCCCCGCGGCCCATTTCTGCAGGCAAAGGCAAAGGAGAAGCGGAAGGGACACCAGACCATGAAACGTATTCCGGCAGTTTATTTCTCAAACAAATAAAAGGGGATTAGAAATCACACCGTTCCTTGTTTTTGAGGCAAAATGAAGTCGTTTTTCAAACATTTAAGGGGAAAAGTAGCGATATACTGCAACAAATACCCTTTTGGAGGTTTTCATGATGGAATACACCTTTTTTTCAAACTCCAAAGAAGAACCAGAGTGGAAACAAGAACAGGTTGGTGATCCATTAGTATAGATTTCGGTTCTGCTTGACAAACAAAAGTAGAGCTGGTTGACTTAGTATCTCCCCCTCCCCCACCGCCCCGTTCTCCAAAACGGTTCTCTGCACCTTCTCCATCAGCTCCGAGACCTGCCGCTTGGCTCCCGCTGTCTTGTGGTTGAACCCGCAGAAGTGGTTCTTGCACCGCCCGATCAGCTCCCGCAGATTCCTGTTGTTGGGTTTTTGGATACATTCATGCAGGGGTTCCCTGGCCAAATCCTCCTTGCTGATGAAGAGGATGGTCACGTGGCCCCAAAAACATGCTGGACGCACTTTGCAGCAGCCGTGTCTTCGGCGGTGAAGTGCCTCACCTGGGTCATCAAGATCAAGGCGTGGGGGCCGGTCCGGGACAGTTCAACGCAAGCCAGGATCTCATGTTGCACTCTCTTCAGAATGAAGCATGGCTGGCGTGTCAATCACAGAGACCTTCCTGCCCTGCCAGATTCCCTGCCCTCATTGGACCTCAGGGTGGTGGTCTTCGCCCTCAGGAGGGACTTGAATTCTTTCTTGCAGTTGCAGTGCCCTTCCTTTCTTTCTTCCTTCCGTCCTTCCTTCCCCTTTATCTTATCTTCCCTCACTCCTTTCTTCCCCCTCCTTCCTTCCTTCCTTCTTCCCTTACTCTTTCTTTCCCTCCCTCCCTCCCTCCCCACCTTACAACCCTCCAGGTCTACCTTTAAGAAGTGGGTGAGGGACAAGCCTCTCCTGGCTGAATGGAATTGGGGCCTCCTCCTTCTTGGAGGGATTCCCCATATTTACTTGTGGTTGTAAGTAAGGAGGGACTGGTGAAAGAAACAGCTAGAACCAGGGAAAGCCAGGCTTCCACTTTGACCTTATACAAGTCCCCACCCCCCCACCCCACACTCAGGCCAGTCCACCTCACAGGGCTGTTGTTGTGAGGAAAAGAGTAGGAGGAAGGAGTGTTAGGGATGTTTGCCACCTTGGGTGGCTTATCAAAATGATAAAGGTGGGATGTCAATTAAACAAAAATAAATGAGGTTAGGGGTGAGAAAGGAGAGCCCCCCCCCCAATCTGGCAAGTGCGTACTCTTCCACACACCGCCCTGCCCTCCAGCTCTGTGGCTCCTGCAGCGCCCGGTTTCGCCCACGGTCCCGAGTCGGGCCCCCGGGGAAGCCACGGGGCCTGGTAGATCTGGTGAGGAAGGATTAGGAAAGAAAGACCACGAGACTCCATGCGTGGAAATCAAGTGTACTTTTACTAATTAAGAATGATTAAAGGCAAAGCATAGCGAAGTCTGGATATTAAGACGCGAAAGTGATTGATATATAGAGTAGCCCATTCCCCACCCCTTGGCATCACAGTCCCCATCCAATCATAATTCTTGCAAGTGTCGGGTGTGAGATAACGTCAAAAGGCATCACGAAGATGGAATGTCGGTGCCATTAGTCCTGGTGGGAAACACCCACGCATGCGTAGTCGGATCAGTCGGTGAAGTCCTGAACCTTCCTCCAGCACAATGAGTAACCCCTCCCAAATACCATGCCCTCCCTCCCCGTTTCATGGCAGCCAAAGCGATAGCAAAGCAGAAGCTGACATCCGGCCGTCCCCCGGAAAAAGGCGATCAGGCCTGGAAAACGAGAAAACACAAACAAACAAATGAAAAACAAAACATAGAAGAGAG